GATATTAAGTATTACTCACAAGCCAAGTTATAAAGGATTACTCACACAAATCAGTTATAAAGGATTACTCACACAGCCAAATATTCAGCAAAAATCCTTAATAACTGGCTCTGTGAGTAATGTTTTATAACTGGCTCTGTAATGCTTTATAACTGGCTTTGTCAGTACTGCAAAGCCAGTTATAAACCATTACTCAAAGAGCCAGTTATTAAGAATTTTTGAGGACTACTTTTAGTAGTGCTTACAAAGCCTGCGAAATATCTCATGTACATATGGCTGGTGCACAATGATTAGAAAAGCCTGGACAAGAGCTGGCTGATTAGAAGACTGCTGTAGTCACAAAGGAGAAAGTAAAATGAATTACCATTAACAAAAATAGCACTCTCTGGTCCTGGAGCATCCGATCCGACCCCTCCACTGCGCAGATTAAGAAGAACTCAACCTACACCAGCGGGAAAAGAAGTGGGCGTGCCCAGCTGTAAAGTTTCCCCCTATATGTGGCCACAGCACCTTGTCGGCTTTCATGTGTGGGAGGCGGGTCTCAGACCCTGCCTCCCACACATGAAAACCATCAAGGTACTGCAGTGCAGCCATATGTAGGGAAAGCAGTGCGGCTAGTGCAAGCCCACTTATGTGCTAAGTGCCAACAAGGGTGGCCGGAGGTTGCCGACCCCTGCCCTACACTCCCCCGAGTCCCGGCCTGTTGGCATAGTAAACTAACAGACTGAGACTGACATGTCACTGACATATGCTCTGGGGGGGTTGGAACCCCCCTTGACCACCCCCCCTCCCCCCTTATTTACACCTCTGCTTGTATGTCCTGAGTTCTGAAGAGAAAAAGGAAGGGTGCCAAGACCTTTACGAACACCCTGTGAGAAGGAGAGGATAGGCCAAAGCGCAGTGTGACAAAACTATAATTGGCTGTCTGAAACAGCAAAGTGCAGAAGTTGTGAAAATTCAGAAAATAAACAAAACTAGTTATGGGATCAAGACCACACCATCACAGAACTGGGTCTCCATAAAAACTTATCCCAAGTTTTTATAGAGACCCAGTTCTGCGATTGTGTGGTATTGAACCCATAACTAGTTTTGTTTATATTTTAATTAAATTGTTTTTTTTAGGGGCTCCCAGCTGCTGTAATTGTTCCGTAACTGCACGGTGTAGAAATACAGGGTCATGTTGATTATTCACGGTCTTAATTCAGTTAGACATACAGAAATAGCAGCGACAGCTGGTTGCAGGACTGCACCTGCCGGCTGAGGCTCCATGCACACTAGCATTTTTTTAAGCTCCTATGGGCTGTTATTTTTCTTTCTGCTCCTAGAAGCTAAATACTGTTATCCTATATGTCCATGCACACGACTTTGGGCTATTGGCAGAAAAAAAAATAGTTTTTGTAGAGTTTTTTGGAGTGTTTTTTCTGCAGGAAAAAAAAGCGCTACTAAAACGCTCCTAAAAATTTTTTTCCCCCTCAACATGCACTGTAAAAATGCTAACGCTCCTAAATGCTACTAAAAAACGCTATTACCAGCATTTTTTATCCAGCGGTTTTTGAGCTTAAAGAAAAACACTAGTGTGCATGGAGCCTTAAAAAGAATTTTTATGAGCATTTGAAAGATTCTGCTGATAGAAAATTTGAAAGAAGGAACATCCTCAGTAAGTACACTGAGATGTTTACTTAGGACAGAGGACAGCAAGCTCAACTACAGGAATAGCTCACTTCTTAAAACTCTGTTTTCACTGGATAGAGTTGAAGTGGTACTAAAGCCAAAATGTTTTTAACCTTTATGCATTCCTTGCATTAGAGGTAAAAAATGTTTTATAGCTTTCGGTTATCCCCCCTTCCCTGTGTGAAGAGGAAGAGAGGGGAGAAGAGATCTAGTGAAGTGCACCGCTGCATTTCTTCCCTCTCTTCCTCTTCACACAGGGACGTTGGCATCAGAAAGGAACCACTGGCTCTTGCTGCTGACAATCAAATGCAGTGAGGAGGAAGGAATGGTGGGGCAAAGCCCCAAGGTATGGTTCCGTAGACACACACAGCTTGAGAGCAAGCATGCGGTGTGTGCCCCCATAGTGAGCGGCCTGCTATGGGGGCACACAAAGAAGAGGAGGAGCCAAGATCACCAGCCAGGAAACCCCGGAACAGAACGTTCAGGGCCAATCTATACATTAACATTGCACAGAGTGGGTAAGTATAACATGTTTATTATTTTAATTAGAACTTTCAGCAAAAAGATTTTTGGAGGAATGAAAATCAGGAATTACTCAATCATTACTAATTGCACATTCTATCTGTTCATGAACAGGGAATGTTTTGCAAATTTTTGTAGATCTCTTTGTGCCCAAGGGGGCATGGTGAGACAGAGGTCAGTCAATTTGTACAATGCCAACATTTTTGAGAACAAAGCTAAAGAGCTTATCAACATTAATCATCATGTTGTGTGAAGCTCCCTCTTCAATAGAGAGGTAATGTGGGAGAGAGAAATTTTTTGCATCTTCTTCCAACACTGCCTCAACATCCTCTTCATTCCCTTCTGATTATTAGTCCTGTAGGATCAGAGTCTGACTCCAGTTGAGAAACAGGAGTAGAAGAGGCAGGGTGTTTCTGAGCTCTGGACAATGATGGCTGTATTAAGGCCATAATCTGTCCAAGGGATTATGACATAGATGCAAAAAATTATACTTTTTTAAAGTAGGCAGTTTGCTGTGGGCTTAAAAACAAACTAGAATCAGATGTCGACACCGGTGTTAAACTGGGTCCTGCTCCGATGCAAGGAATGCATCGCCATTGTTAGGCTGAGTGTTGCAAGAGCCTTCGGCAGTGCGAATATTCACTTGCTGTTTAGAATTGACTCTCTTTCAACTGGTCTCCGCCATTACTACAAGTGAGAGTATTTCCCTCGGAGTATTCATGGAGTACAGTGTGGGAGGTAGTGCAAGTGTGTCAGGAAGAAGTACATGATAACCCAGGTGTAGAGTGTCCTGAAAAAATCCTTGTGGTCAAAGGGAATGAGTACTTTACAAAGGCCCTTGGTGAAAGTCATATTAAAAAGTATACTACTAGCTATGCGATGTAACATTTGGTCATCCACTGTAGACTGGGCTAAAACTGGTTACATTTTAGAGCAGAGTTTGAAAAGTTTGCACTGTAAAGTGAATACATTCCAAACGTAGCTTCGATTTTACAGTAATGGTCAAAGATACAGGGTGACCCTGTCTTAACCTTTTCACAAGGCTGGACTACATATAAACCCCAAAGGGGTCTTCAGGGACTTGGTTCCATAGTGATGGACCGCGGCCCGAAACCTGTATAGCACCCTGTGGCTAACTCAAGGTGTTGAACCAAGTGCCAAGGTGAGTGCCCCATACAGGACCAGTGCTTGAAGCAACATTACACACAGTTCCCAATGTGTGGGGTCCAGGTGCCAAGGTTTTACTGTAGTTGCACTGATACTGCCAATATTTTGGCATCTTCTTGCCATATCAAACCAAAATGTAATTATTTACCCAAACTAGAGATGGGAAGGCCTGGAAAAAAAATGGAAACATTTGCAAAAAAAAAAACCCTTTCAAAGCCATTTTTTTAAAATAAAATTTGGAAAAAAATTTAAAAAAGTGTGGAACACGTTCTTTTAAAATAACTAATATCCAATAACATGGTATTCAAACTAAACAAGAAGACCTTAATGAAAGATTCTGAGATTTTATGTAAACGTTCTCTCAGCTAAAGACCAGCAAATCCTGGAATTCAATTCAAGTAACTCTACTTCTCAATGCAGTTCTCTGACAAGGGAAATGTGCATTTCTGCCACTAGGAGGCACTGCAGGGAGCGGCACCAATTTAGCTTGCACTTCTGGCCCCACCATACTGTTTTCTCCTGGCCCCCCTATACTGTTCCCTCCTGGCTATAAGAATAATTGATGTTATATCTACAGCTTGCTGATCACATCAATGTTTTGTGAGCTGTACATACAAAAATAATTTCAGGGATTCCCTGAGAGCTCAGACTTTTTGCTAGGGGTTCCTCAAATGGTAAAAAAAAACCTGATCTAGAGTTTGGAAACATTCCTACAGTGCAATTTCTGTTGATAACAAAGCTGCAGTTTGCAGTGTAACAAAATGACTTTCAATTTTTATTACTACTCCACATTGAATTTTTAATTTCTCCAAAAATTTTTATTTTTTTCCACGAAAAAAAGGTTTTTGTTTTTTTTTTTCCATGGCTTCAAAATTTCCGGATATTTTACATCTGTAACACCAAACGCAAAAAATTTAGAGAGCGAATGAAGAAGGGTCATCCTTCAGCAAACAGACAGTAGTATTTTTGATGAAAGTGAACTATTCAGAAAAAAAACTGCTTGCAAAACAATAAAGATCTTCATCAGGTAGCTACATGGTAGACATTGTATGACTTGGTATGTAGACCTTATTTAAAAAAAACGCAAAAAAACATCTTTAACAGTAGCAGAGTACCATTAGGCTACTTTCACACTGATGAGCCGCAAAAACGCATAGGTGTTTTTACCACGCCTTCTGAAAGTTTTATAAAGGACATGTGATTTAAAAACTGCACCAAAAATGCTTCTCAGAGGCGTTTGTGAGGCACTTTTCAAGCGTTTTCCATTTATTTTCATGGGAAGAGGCATTTTTGGGGTGTTTTTTTTTTTTTAACTCACCAAACATGCCCCAAAGATGCTGCAAGCAGTTTTTACACCACAACGCCTCAGTGTGAAAACATACATAGATATACATTCACATACATAGGGAAGCATTTTTCTTGAGCTTTTCAGGCACATTTTTAAAACGCAAAAACGCTTCAAAAACTCCTCAGTGCGAAAGTGTCTTAAGATACTTTTCTTCTAGTCAGATAAGTTTATTTGCTTTGTTTTAACTCTGTATATACTTTACATGAACTCAGGAGTACAAGTTTTTTTTCCCCCCTGTAATTATTCCTTTATTTTGTAAACCGGTGCAATAAAGATTTACTTCACAACTTACGTAAAGCTTCTCATGGTACAATTCCACCAGTTTTTTCAGGACCTCTGTGGCTTGATTTCGATATTCTGCCACAGCATGAGAGAGTGCTGCAGCCCCTGCCTGCCTCACTGCTTCTTCATGATGAATAACATCTTTAATAAGCAAAGGACATAGGTCTGGTTGCAATTCCAAGTCAAGCGATTCCCAAAACCTGTGATGATACAGGGAATAAAAAAAAAAAAAAAAAAAAAAAAAAAAAAAAAAGCACAAAACATCAATAACAGGGTCATGTTGGATGAATCAGAACATTTCTCAGAAATATACACAACAGTGTTTTGCAAATCTGCCCTCTTTTTAACAATCATTTACACACACACACACACCAAAAATTCAAGGGTGGAGAATTTACAGTATGAGCAATACTATTCGGCTGTGTCTCTTCACAAAGTTTTAATGGTGGGTACGGCCTTCAGACAGGTTAAAGAGAACTGCAGTTTTTTTTTTTTTTTAATTAAAAATCCAGCCGTAAATACATGTGACATGTCTCAAGAGGTTGAGGGGGGGTTCAAGAATTGAGAAAGTGGGAGCATGTACCTGTCAGAGGAAAGGTACCTGTTTCCCCCTAAAGAAAAAAAAAAAAACTTCAAAATATGCTGGGGGGGAGCAAATAATAATCAAGTAGTGGTATTATTTTATGCTGTTGAACACTGCAGGTTGTTGATTGCAGAAGAGACATGTAAGGTTTCTCCTGCAAAAAAAAAATACTATATACCTGCCGGTCCCCTGGCATGTAAACTTAGCTGTAAACTGGCCCTATCCCAACTATGCCGCAACAATGGAAAGGATTGACGTCATCCTGGTCCGGCCAATAAATATGGCCAAAAATAACACAAAGGAGAAAATGCCAGTGCCAGCAAGGGATGCAACCGTTGGGGGAAAGGTGAGTATATTAGCTGCCTATAGTTCTGTTTTAAAATTAGTTGAGAAGAAAGTAGAATGACTATAACTCTATCCTACTCTACAAGTTCTTACATTTTTAGCTAGCAATACAGAGTAACACAAGAACAAAGGGGAGGGTGGCCTGAGTCCCGCACTGTACTTCCAAATGTGGAATTTACAGATAAGTCAAAATTCACAGAAACCGAACTGTGACAACAGGCCCAACAAACATAAGGGTTCACATGACAAAGCTATGTAACAGAGGCTTGATGGCTAACAATGATAGATCTTAAGGCAGGATGCTTCAAAATCCCTATAAGTGTATATTAATTGGTGTGAAAGTTATAGCTTCTACAAACTATGGTATATATGCTGGAATTTACATAGCTTTTGAACAGCTCTGATTTTCTGACTGCCTATCACACCTCCTCAGGTGCTAAAATGCCAGGAAAGTACAAACACCCTAAAAAAGGACCCCTTTTTGGAAAATAGATACACAAAGGTATTTGCTGAGGCATGTTGAGTCCATGGAAGATTTTTTTTTACCATACGTTTTTGGAAAAATGACAAAAAAAAAAATGTCCTTTTTTTTATTACACAAAGTTTTCCTTTTAATGAGAGACTTCTCCTACGTGTCATAGGCATATGTAAAATTACAACCCAAAAACGCATTCTGCTATTTGGGGATACAACACGTGAGAGACATTTTGGCAGCCTAGCCACGTGCAGGGGCCCAAAATTCAATGAGCACCTTCACAGGCTTTCAAGAGACGTTAACTATGCAATTTACCCTAAAATGCCAGGACAGTATAAAAAACCCCCAAATAACCCCTTTTGGGAAAGTGAATACTCCAAGGTATTTGCTGAGAGGCATGTTAAGTTTTTTGGAAGATTGTAATTTTTGCCACAACTTTTTGGAATATGAAAAACTTTTTTTTTTTTTTTTTTTACCCAAAGTGGTCGTTTTACTGAGATATTTCTCAACACACATAATGAGTATACATGGCATCTGAAAAATGTCTCTCATGCAGCCGGCTAACAGCATCTGGATTTGTGCTTTGGACTACAACGCCTTCTGGATACAAAACGGCTGATATGATCACTTCCTGAATTCACTGTGTGTGGGTACAGTAAATGACAGGATGAATACATCACATTTGTCCTTCCATTTTACTGCTCATAGATCTTTATTCCACAAACAGGCTTTTTCCCCCTTTCTAAGTGCGGTGTTAACGGCTGTCAGGGGAAGCCCTGCAATTAGGTCATATGGCACCACAGTGGCCAATTTTTTGAAGGAACAAACGTCTAAAAAAGTGGCACACTTAAAATTCAAAAAAACGTCCAAACGTTTTTGAATTTTAAGCTATTACTATGTAGTGTGATGACCATTAAAATCCCCTTCTATTGCTTTGATTTTCCAAGTACAAATGGTGTCTCACAGAGAACAAGGTTGACAAAAAGTCCCATACTATCTTACCATTGCTCCCCATGTAGTCTGGGCATCTGGGGGGCTCCACTTTTCCCTCAAATTCTAATGCGACATGTATAGCCTATGGCCCTCTCACAGAGCTTATACATTCCGACCCCATATCTCACAAACTTGCTGGGCAGATATTGCTTGATTGCAAGCCTGCCAGTAAAATGTACAAGGAATGGGTCTATACGTATGTTTTGTTGTAGTCAGGATCACACCAGAGACAACAGAGGTTATTGTCACTGAAATGCATAAAACCTATTATCTCATATCTTTTCATGGCCTGGCCATTCAGCAGAGAACATGGATATAGGATGAGTTGGGTTTCTGTGGACCAACACAGCTCAAAAATGTCAAGGGGCATTGTTAAATTGGATGTTTCCACCTGAACTCCGGGCTGTGCTGTGAATGGGGGGAATACCAAGTGCTGATGAAGAATCTGGGGGCATCCAATTAGGGTTTGCAAGCACCTCTGGAAGGCTACTATAAATAATGCAGTGCTGGTGTCTAAAAGGTCAGGAAGTACTATGTTGCTGGTGCTTTCCAGATCACCAAAAAGTAATGCAGCGCTAGTACTTGCACCCTGCTGCATCTAACCATAATCATATTTCTAGCACTTCAGCAACTTAGGGCTGGGTATGCCTGAATTTAGCAGGGACCTTTTCACCATCATCTGAGCTAGCTGTCAGGGTGCTGCTGCTTTCTACAGGTTCTATACTATTCTGAGCCTGATTCAGATAGTGAGGCCTCACCTTCACTCTAATCTATCATTGTCATAGTCCTGTACGCCTCCTCACTAGTGTACCTTTTTTTGGACATTTTGGGCACTGATGTTACAGGTACCTAGTGGCAATTATAGGAAAAAAAAGAGTTCCTGACCAGCAATCAGGGACTGCTTGTGCGCTAGAAATACATTTTACGGACAGCAGAGATCAGGCCTAAACTAAAACGCATGTGCTGGCAGTGATCGGGGCTGATCCTGCTAACACTGCATTTTTGGAGACACTAGTATAGTATAGTAGATCATGACCAGGATACTGATCCGGACAAACACTATACCATACTAGTAATATACTAGTGTCTACTAGTATACACAATACTAGTAACGGCAGTGATGAGCAACTTATAGTGTGACTATGAGAGTGTGGTGGGCAATTAGGGACTGTACACTGTACTAATGACACTGGCTGGGTGGCAGGGGTGATCAGGAGGGCAATCCAGGAGTTAAAGGTGTGCCTGGCAAGTGTATGTGTGCCGATTTTTCTCACAGACTCTCTGGCTTTTCTCCCTGATCTCAGCTCTAAATGGTAAGTGAAATCAGGGACAAGAACTAGCGAGATCTGTGTGCTGTGGTTGGCCACAGCTATCAGCAGGTTCAAAGCTAAAATTATTGGCTGTGAGCCTGCTGCTAACAAACTCATGCTATGAGCAGCAGAGGGCATGCGCGTATAAACCCGAAGTTCCCCGCGATGTATGGGTACATTGTGGGGGAACAACATAGTAACTAGCCAAAAGTAAAAGTACTACTGCTGGTCAGTAAGTAGTTAAAAAGGGACTGCATGGAAATGCTGTTTTACGATTCAAATAATTTTTTTATATTTTTATCCTTTCACATATGATTATGTCTTGATTAATATAAGTTTACAGACACTCATATTTGTAGTTTTGAGAATGAACATAGAATTTGCTTCTGTGATTTTGTATAAATAAAATACTGTAAAGCACCTGCAGTTCCAGTTAGAAGACAAACTGATCCCAGGTACAGGTACCTAAAAGTCATGTAAGACAAAGTTGTGAACATGACCCCACAAACCTAATGTCAGATACATCCACAAGAGGTAAAGAAAGTAAAAATAAGCTCTCTTTGCAACTGATGACACCATTGGGATGCTAGGCACAAGAAAAAACAAAGTTACAGTCAGCCACATAAAGAACATTCACTAATCAACTCCTGCCCAAAATTTGTGTCAATCACAATCACACATTAGCTATTAGGACGTCACACGTCTATATGGATTCAATAACATACCAGCCTAGTAATGCAAGCATGGTGTGCAGTGAATAAATATAACATAAGGGCTCATGAGCAGGGTCTTCCTAACCCTTTTTTTTCCTGAATTGAATTTTAACTGCTGTCTCCCTTTATATTGTAAAGTGTTGCGCAAACTGTTGGCACTCTACAGATCCTGTATTATAATAATAATGATGATGATGCTGGCATTTACAAAAGACAGCAGCACAGACAATTCATGAACAATGGCACAAACATGAGGATGCTGTAAACTTACCAGAGAATTATTTTCTTCAGGCTATTAAGGGGCACAGGAAGTATAACTAAAGGCAAAACTTTGGTTTTGGACAGTGGTGGAAGGTTACAACACTTGTCAGGTTTTTATTACTATTGGTGTCCCCATTAAGGAGATTCACCCTCTCTATTTGTCATATATACAGCTATAACTGAAAGCAAAATAAAATATTTTTTGGGTTGTCACCAGAATAGTAACACAGGAGAAATTTTCCAAATAATTATTAGGTATTATATTGTGCTTGTGTGCACTAAAATTAAAGTGTACTTTTCCTGAAAATTTGTGTTTGATAAACCACTACGTAAATATCGTGTGACATGAAACATTACAATAAGCACCATTTTATTCTCCCGAGCCTTTGCTTTCAGGAAATACAGAATAAGTGGACGTTCTAAGTAATTTTCTAGTTAAGAAAATGCTGAATTTTATATGTATGTTAGAAGCGTCAGAATCGCTTGGACAGCAAGTGGTTAAGAGGGCACACAAAGTCTT